GACATTAGCCACCACCTCCATCATTCTAAGCCGTGTGTTGAAAGCTTCCTTGGTTCCATCCAGGGCATGGATCATCCCTTTGTCCAATGTGTGTCCACTCTATACACTAACCATTCACTAGTCGCTTACTGCCTGCCTGCCTTCTGGGACAAACTGTCACACTGTATCAATCAGCACGAATGAACACAGCTGAGAGCATGGAAGAGAAGTGCCCTCATCAAACAAAAGAGATATGGGTTTATTCAGGGCTCCTGTACATATTCACACGGGAAGGCACTTAAGGGTCAGGCACATTCTTGAGTGCGCTCCATTTAAAGTCCTAACCCAGGAGACACAGACTCCTCCAGTCTGTATTTCTCAGTGAGTTCAGCTCAAGGAACACATGTTCAAAGGGTATGAAGGTAAACAAAAAGACATCTGCTTTTTTCCGAAGGGTTTTTGCTGAAACTAAAAGGACATTGTGAAGGCACCTGAAGGTGCCTGCCTTGCTTCATTGCTAACAGCAGGGCTGCTGGTGGGCAGCCTCCATTATGTGACTAACAAACCAGCTTTACTTTGCTCCAATTGGCTGGATTTTTTCCACATTTTGATTTGGTTTGAGGATGGTTTGGTAGTAGTGTTGAGATAGAACTCACTATGTGGCCCAACTTACTTTTGGGTACAATAATTCTCCTGCCTCAGCATGCTGAACGCCAAGGTTATAGCCAAGAGCAGCCATGCCCAGGTTGTCTTTCATTTAAAAAGCTTTAAAAGTATTTTAATTATGTATATGGGGGTGGCATATGCACATGATTCCAGGTGCCCTTGAGCCCAGACACTGATGAAGATCGGACACAGATCTGTAGTTACAGGTGGCTGTAAGCTTTACAGCTGGATGTGGGTGCTGGGAAACAAATTCATATTCTCTGGAACAGCAGTGTGTGTTCTTAATTGATGAGACATCTCTCCAGCCCCCTTAATTTTTTTTGGGGGGGACAGGGTTTTTCTGTGTAGCTTTTGGAGCCTGTCCTGGAACTCACTTTGTAGACCAGGCTGGCCTCGAACTCACAGAGATTCACCTGCCTCTGCCTTGTGAGTGCTGGGATTAAAGGTGTGCGCCACCAACGCTCGACTAAAATTTTTAATCACTTTTTTTATTGACTGGGGGCACACTTGCCATGGCACACATGTGAAAGTCAGAGGGCAACTCTTGAAAGTTGGTTTCCTCCTTTTACGACGTGGGTCCTGGGAATTGAACTCAGGTCATGAGTTTTGGTTGCAAGTACTTTTACCCTCTGAGCAGGTGAGCTGTCACATGCTCCATCTTTCTTCTTTTTTTTTTTTAAAAATAACAAAATTCTGCAGTGATAATTTAAATTTTCTAATTTTTCTAACTGTTGATTTCCTGTGAAATGGGATATAGATGAATGCTTTAGCCAGAAATGCTGATACATCTTGTATTTTTTTCCCAAGATTTATTTATTTTTTATGTATACAGTGTTCTGCCTGCATGTATGCCTTCAGGCCAGAAGAAAGCACCAGATATTATTATAGATGGTTGTGAGCCACCATGTGGCTGCTGGGAATTGAACTCAGGACCTTTGGAAGAGCAGCCAGTGCTCTTAGCCACTGAGCCGTCTCTCCAGCCCTCATCTTGTATTCTTTTGAGCATACTATAACATGTAGGGATTCAACTTGACCTGGCTGTAGCCATAGCCACTGTGGTCTGGTCTCCTCCCGTTGTTTCCCATTGGATGATAACTAAGCCAAACCATTGGGATAAGTGAAACTTTACACCAGGCACCTGGTGCCAGCAGTGCTAGGGACCGTCCCTGACATCTTTGAGATTAGCTTGAGAAAAGCAGGCATTAGCTTAAGTTGCGTTTGTCCTCACTCCATAAGCCCCGTTCCACTAGCACAGATTGTAGGGATCCACTGGTCTTGCTGCCACCCAGAAACATGCTTCTGCAGGCAAGAAGTTCCCCAGCAAATGGCAGTCTGAAATCCTGGCTTGTCTGCCTCTTTCCTGGGTCTCCCGGCATTGGCAGCCTGTGCACACACCGTGCTATTCCCACGTGATGGCTATGCACCAGTAACTTAATACTGACTGCAGCCGCAGAAGGATCAGCAATTAGCCCTATTTAAGTTTATTACCTTGGGGTAGACCAGTTGCTCAAAGAATTGTGGACATTGTAAATGACATCAGTAGTCAATGTTTAAAAACAAGGCAAAGTAAGCTGGGCACGGTGGCACACACTTTCAATCCCAGCACTTGGGAGGCAGAGGCAGACCTCGGAGGTTCAGGACAGTCAAGGCTACACAGAGAAACTCTATCTGGAAACAAACAAGACAAGGCAAAGTGGTATGAAATGCCCTTCTGAACTTTGAAGGACCTAGAACTGGTATCTGCAGTTAGCTATTGTCTTGGTTAGAGTTATCTGGGAAAAGAGTGCCTCAGTTGAGAAAATGCCTCCATCAGACTGGCCTGTAGGCAAGACTATAAGGCATTTTTCTTGATTAATGATTGATGTGAAAGGGACCATCCCACTGTGGGTGGTGCTACCCCCACCTCCGTCCCCAGGGCAGTAGTCTTGAGTGACATAAGAAAGCAAGCTGAGCCGGGTGGTGGTGGCACACGCCTTTAATCCCAGCACTTGGGAGGCAGAGCCAGGCGGATCTCTGTGAGTTTGAGGCCAGCCTGGTCTACAGCACAAGATCCAAGGCACCAAAACTATATAGAGAAATCCTGTCTCAGGGGTGGGGTTGGGGGTGGGGGTGGAGGAAGCTGAGCAAGCTCATGGTACTGGTCTCCATGACCTGTTTCAGTTCCTGCCTCTAGGTTCCTGCCTTGGCTTCCCTGGTGATAGACTCTGTGACCTGTAAGCCAAATAAACGTCTTCTTCCCCAAGTTGCTTTTAGTTGTGTTTATCATAGACATAGAAACTTAACTGGGACAGCTGAGCAACTGTCTTCCCAGGGACTTTCCTGTGGCCATTTGAACTCTGAGAAGGATATTCTGAGAGCAGGGGTCTCCAGGTGGCTGGCACTCAGCAAATGCTTCTCCCCATAGCAAATGATAAGGAGACTTGGGTACCTCTGTGGTCTAAGACCTATCCTGACCTTGGGCTGTCTGTGTTGGAAAGGGTGTATGAGTTTTCTTTGGACAGCCTGCTGTTCTGTTGGCTGGGCCCAGAGGGAAAACAATTGTACCGACAAGTGAATAAAAACCAACCATTTTATTGAGCGGCCTTGACACTGCAAAAAAATCCCACCAAGAAGGTGGTGCTGGCACACGCCTTCAATCCCAGCACTCAAGAGGCAGGGGCAGGTAAATCTCTGAGTTCGAGGCCAGCCTGGGCTACGAAGCAAGTTTTAGGACAGCCAGAGCTGTTATACAGAGAAATCCTGTCTTGAGAACAAACAGAAATCCCACTTAATATAAAGCCAGATGCTTGTGTGCATTTGTGGGTTTGTTTGCTTTTTAAAGGGCAGGCAGGGCCACAGAGATGCCTGATCACTGGTTTTTCCACATGGTGGAAGAGAACACACTCTTTCAAGTTTTCTTCTGACCACATTCTGCTTAGAGCGCGAAGAAGCCACCCAGGCAAGGAACAAGGTGGTGCATGACAAAGAACTTTATTAATTGATGAACTAGCTCATCACAAAATGATCAGAGGACAATACTGCCAGGAATTGAATTTTCTAGAAACAGATGACTGGAGACTGGGTGGGCACCTTCTCATGGGTGAAGTCGGTGGCCAGGTATAAAGAACTGACCTCATCACTGTTCATAGATGTTTTTCAGTTCTGCAGATCTCAAGAAAAACAGTAATTATTCTCGCCAAAATGGTTATTTCTTCAGATTCTTCAGATTATTCTTACTGATTAGTTGTGCAGAGTTCCTGGCAGATTACACAGTAGACAGGCTAGAGCAGGTAGCTTCCTAGAGGCCCATGCCTGGTCCGCAAACACACAGTGGTGGTGCTTGCCCTTAGTCCCAGGACTTCGGAGGCAGAGGCAGGAGGATCTCTGAGTTCGAAGCCCGTCCGTTCTACAGAGTGAGTTCCAGGACAGCCAGGGCTACACAGAGAAACCCTGTCTCGAAAAACAAACAAACAAAGAAACAAACAAAAAACCCCACTTCACCTAATTACTGTGGAAGAGAAGTTAAATATGAAGTCAAGTGGAGTTAAATATGAAGTCAGGTGTACTAAAAGAGAGAGGAGGAGAAGGGGGGGAGGCAGGGAGGGGGAGAGAGAGAGAGAGAGAGAGAGAGAGAGAGAGAGAGAGAGAGAGAGAGAGAGAGAGAGGAGGATGAATTAGGTTTTAATGTTCTGTTTCAGGGTTACAAAATCAGCTTGTGGCAGGCCCTAAGAAGGGCTCCCGATGTAGTATGTGATGGGGACACTGACTGAGTCCCAGCGGGGACCCAGGTCTTCTGGTTCCCAGTTTTTGCCCTTCCATGTGACTGTACTACATCCCACCTCAGGGGAGGCCAGTGTGGAACTTACTCCTTCTGCACTCTCTCCTCCTCCTCCTCTTCCTCGTCTTCTGAGAAACCTGTGTGGAGTGGATCACCCAGCAGGCCTGGCCTCTGGGCAAGGAGAGCCTGGAGATGACCAGGCTTCTGCCCTTGCAATGAAAGCTTTCCCACGGTGACTTCTCTGGCAGGTGGTTAGGGTGTGACTTATCCAAGAGGGAGCTGAGGCTGAGTAGTCCCTTCTCTGTGTAACCACTGCCAAGTTGAAAGCCCAGTTCTTACGCGCTCGGTCCACAGGGCTTTCTACCAGGCCACCCTTCATCCAGGGCAGAGCTTCTGCCGGACCTATGACCACAGGCGCACATCCCGTGTGCCATTACACTCAAACACAATGAGGAGCCTGGGTGAGGCTGGGAGGAAGTGGCACTATACATGCCCGCATGTACCTCAGTGGGTGTGAGGCATGCAGGTGCACTGGCTTTCACATCTCAGGTGTGAATTCTTTGGCCCTGAGATGAAGCTGAGAACTTGTCTTCCACAGCCTGAAGCTTGGTGGGGTTGTCCTTGGATCACAGCCTGGAGAGACAGCACAGGGGCACCGCCAGCCATGAACGTTGGAACTTCCAAGGTCCTCCAGGTAGATTGTATGGCTCCTCCCAAGGAGAACCAGGGCATGGGGAGAGGGAGGGTCCTGAAAGCCAGGCGGCGTGGGGCCAGTTCCTCTATGGCAGGAAACACAGCCTTGCGCGGAGATCCTGCGGGTCACTCACAGAGCTGGCACGAGAGGTGCTCGGGTTGGTTGCACCGTTTGCCCCTTTTGTGGCTCTCCACCTGCTCTGCATCGCAGAGCCGCCCTGAAGCTTCAGATCTACTGAAAAGCCTGGCAAGTGGGAGGAGCAGCCTGGGTCATTATTTCCCAGCATCCTCCTGTAGCAGCCACCTGAAGTAGATGTGGTACCCGTGTAGTGTCTCCTTTAGCTACAGTCCCCCACGTATCCCAACTGCCTGTCCTTGCCTCTTCAAACTCAAGGCTGGTGACAGCTGTCCCATCTCTAATACGCTGAGACCTGGACTGATGACAGCTATAATTCACACCCCCTCACTGGCTTCTCTAATGCCCACCATCTGTTAAGCAGGGCTCTGGACAAACTCTTTCTTGGTACATGCCATAATGCCCTGCCTGGACTTGGACCAATCTAGTAGTTATTGTTTCCTCATTAAATCCTTCCAGATGCCAGCATAAGATGTAACCCAACACAGGACAGTCCTTGCCATGCGCCAGAATGCTGCTTCTCTCCTCTAATGATACCCAGCTACTCAGGGAAGTGAAATTAGAGCCCGGGTCCCTTGCCTCCCATTTCAGGGCTCCAGTCACTCTGCAGCCCAGGGCGTGGGCCTTGTATCTGGGAAGGCAGTAAAGTCGGGGTGGAGGGAAGGTGGAAGGAAGAGGGGCCTGATTCTCCCTCCTGGTAGCAAATATTCACCACAGCAGCAAAGCATCCTGGCATCACCAACCTACCAGATCACAAGCAGGTGTCAGCTTCCCTGCCCCCTACAGCCGTAGCAAGCAGTTGCAGGCTGGAAGCAACTGCGGGGGGCCCCTTCTGTTGGCGACTAACCTCCAACTTCTTTCTCCACCCTCCCAACAGCACACAATCACTACCACTGTCGACCCACAATGGTTTTTTCCTACTGGCTTCTCACTGCTACTACTCTCATTTTCTGTCCTTAAATGTAGCTTGCTTTCAACCTAGAGTCTGGAGCTTGACTTCGGCACTAGAGTCCACTGTGATTATGTGTAGATGTTTGTGTCTACATGTACACCTGAGTTCAGGTGCTCACAGAGGCCAGAGGTGTCAGTCACATCTGGAGCGGCAGTTACAGATGGTTGTAAGTCACCTAATATGGGGGCTGAGGACCAAACTACAACAGCTAAGTGCTTTTAACCGCGGAGTCATCTCAATTCCACACTATGGCCAGACGATGGCAGTGTGAAGCCAGACCCCAGCAGTGGGATGGCACATTCCTATTTCTGCAGGTTCTTTGTGGAGTGGATAGCCCAGCCTCAGGAACACATCAGCCAGATAATCTAAGCACTTGGGAAGAGGATCTCTCCCTCACCCATCCATCTTGCAGCCAAGGAAGAAATCACACAGATACCTTTTCCTTCAATTTCTGGTAAGTTTGGAATGGGATAAACTATCAGATCCTCGTTTTTTTGTTTGTTTTTTGTTTTTTGAGAAAAGATCCCTGTCTACCCATAACTGGCTTATAATTCACTGTGTAGGGACTGAAGAGATGGCTCAGTGGTTATGAGCATTGGCTGCTCTTTTAGAGGACCTAGGTTCAGTTCCCAGCACCCACACGGCAGCTCACAACTGTCTGTTAACTCAAGTTCCAGTGGATCTGACTCCTTCACAAAGACATGTAGGTCAAACACCAATCCATATAGAAATTAAAATAGACCAGGCTGGCCTGGAACTTGGAGGGATTCTCCTATCTCTGCCCCCAAGTGCTGAGATTACAGGTATAGCACAGCACTATGCCTGGCAAAAACAGAAAACTTTTTTTTTTTTTTTGGTTTTTCGAGACAGGGTTTCTCTGTGTAGCTTTGCGCCTTTCCTGGTACTCGCTTTGGAGACCAGGCTGGCCTCGAACTCACAGAGATCCGCCTGCCTCTGCCTCCCGAGTGCTGGGATTAAAGGCGTGCGCCACCACCGCCCGGAAGAAAACTTTTTAAAATAAATAATGAGCCGGACGGTGGTGGCACACTACTTTAATCCCAGCACCGGGGAGGCAGAGGCAGGGAGATCCGAGTTCCAGGACAGTCAGGGCTACACAGAGAAACCCTGTCTTGAAAAACAAAAACAATGAGTTTTGCCTACATGGTTCTACACCATGTGTGTGTGCCTGGTGCCCATAGAGGCCAGAAGGTAATGTTGGATCTCCTAGGCCGAGAGTTATAGACAGTTCTGAGCTACCATATGGGTGCTAGGAATAAAATCTGGGTCCTCTGCAGAAAACTTCTGAGCTCCAGTCAGGCCTGGTGGCACTGAGCTGTAATAATCTCTGTCCTTGGGAGGCTGAGGCAGGGGTGTAACCGCAAAAATCAGGCTAACCTAGGCAGAGACCCTTTCTCAAAAAAACCTAAGTGTAGATACAAGAATTTACCACGACTTGTAATCATGTGCATTCGTGTCATGGGAAAGCGTGTGTGAGTGAAAAGTGCCCACAGAGGACAGAAGAGGACATCAGATCCCCTGGAAATGGAATTACAGCTGTGAACCACCTAATGTGGGTACCCAGGAACTGAACTCAGGTCCTCTGGAAGAGCAAGTGCTCTTAATCACTACACTGTCTTTCCAGCCCTTTATTTTTGACACAGGATCTTGAAAACAGATGAAGCCATGAACCCATGCCTTATCTGACCGAGGTGGTTTGGATGTGTGCTTTTTAACGTGTTCTCCAACGGCAGCCTGATAACAGACACTAGCAGGCATTACTGCCCAAGAGAAAAGACCAGGTAGTTCTATGCTGTGGCCCAGCACAGTCCAGACTCAGGACACCAGTCAACAGTCTCAAGTGTTTTGGTCCCTTCCCAAGGTTCAAGTGACCTTCAAAGTGACCTTGGTACTAATCAGCACAGGTCCAGATGTTACACCCACAAGTGCCATTCTTCTGTTTAAAAAAATATATATTAAAAAAATATAGCCGGGCGGTGGTGGCGCACGCCTTTAATCCCAGCACTCGGGAGGCAGAGCCAGGCGGATCTCTGTGAGTTCGAGGCCAGCCTGGACTACCAAGTGAGTTCCAGGAAAGGCGCAAAAGCTACACAGAGAAACCCTGTCTCGAAAAACCAAAAAAAAAAATAAAAAAATAAAAAAATAAAAAAATAAAAAAATATAATGTGCTGGGTGTGGTGATGTACACCTTTAGTTCCAGCACTCAGGAGGCAGAGTCTGACTCTGAATTCAAGGCCAGGCTGGTCTACATAGCAAGTTCTGGGCCAGCCAGGGAGAACTAGTGAGCCCCTGTCTTAAATAATTAAAAAAAATATATATATATATTATATATATGTGTACACTATATATATGCTATATATATACAACTATATAACTATATACATAAAATTATCTGGACAATCACTCCAATATTTACGTTGGGGAAAGTGAGAAACAAAGGGCCTCTGTATACTAACAAGTTCATGGAGAACAGTAAGGGGGGCACACCTTTACAAACTTGGGGAGAAAAGGAAAAGGATAGACCAAACTGCATTATAAACGTTCTATACTGAAACTGGCCTGGACCCAAGGAAGCCATCACCAAGTCCTGTTGGCCCTGGCATTGCCATTCTTGGCCATGGTGTTTGAAGACTTAGCTTCCTATCTTATGTGTTGAGGTTTTTATTTTCATGACATCTTTTATCACAGTGTTCTGTGAGGATGAGACACGAGTGAGTCAGAGCATGTTCCGTCCTCGCCCTTCCCTGAGTGCAGGCCGAAGCATGCAGGTACTTGGCCTTCCTCCCCAGGATCCCTCACCTCCTCACAGGACTCCCAAAGACCGCAGAAGCCCAAGCCTGGAGCAGAGGGGCAGCTCTGTCACCGTCTGTCGTGTTGACCTAAGCTGCCTCCCTCTCTGCCTGTCTGAAGTCTAGCCAAGACCTCATTCCCGTCATCCCGGTTCTCTGAGACTGTCAAGCCCATGGTTAGCCATGGGTGAGGCGGAAACCGTCTGAGTGAGGATAAAATCTGGACTAAGACAGCTATTATTAGTACTGAGGTTCACATGCTCCCAAATGAGGGCCTGACCCCATCTGTGACTGTGGTTCTCCACATCTGGCAGGCATGGGCAAGACGGGATGTCAAACTGACAGAAGCAGCAGCTGTGATTACCCCTGCAATGAAAACCAACATGGCTCCTGCTATCTTGAGCACAAGGACTTCAGAGACGACAAAGGACTTGGAATTGTATCAGCCCATCTCTTCAAACCCTAGGAAAGACCCCAGAGGTGGCAGGATCACTGGTTGTACACCATAAGAAGGTCAAGGGGGCGCTCTCTGAGGACACTAAGGCTCTCGTCTAGTGAGGCCTAGTGTATTCTCCACCTCCAGCTCTACTGACCCAGGCAGCCACAGGAAACCTCAGTACAGTGGTCCTGAGGTTTCACCTGCAGCTTCCAACAGGAAACTACCACGAAGGGGGCCACCACCCAGGCAGGGGGCCACCACCCAGGCAGGGGGTTGGCTTTGAACCCCCACCTTAAGGTACCTCCACATGGACAGCAATATGGAAATCAGGTCCAGAAACGGGGCCAAGGACAAGGACCCTTGAGACCCACGGTGTCTGCAGTCACCTTTAATGAGGCCACACTTTCCCAATTCCTTCCAAATCAAGGAACATGAATGGAGAAGTCAGTACAACGTGCAAACAAGGAGGACCCCTTGAAGATGGAGAACCTGCCCTCCCCACCGGGCCCCGGATCTCCGAGTGAGTCCTCTTGTGCTTCAGGGTCTCCGTTCCAGGAAGCAGAGCCTGCAGTGTACGGCCTTTCCTAGGGGTCAGGAGACCCTTCAGAACGTGACTGTGCCCATGTCCCCCAACAGCTGCCAGGCAGCAGCAGGGCCGGAGGGTCCACGTGTCAGAGTCCACACCATGTGTTATCCTTTAATGAAGCGCTGCATCTTGGTGGGCCACTGCTCCCCCTCCCCACCAGCCACCTGAAGACAGGGTGGGCCTCAGGCACCGCTCTGCTTAGGCAGCAGCAGCCTAGAAAGGCTTTTTTTTCTTTTTTCCTCTCAGGCCTTGAAATTGGCAACAGGGAACAAGGACAGAGGAAGCTAAACTGAGGTCAAGGAGGATGGATGAAGAGGACAGGAAGTGGGAGGCTCTCTTCCTTCCTCTGTGATTCCTGATGGGATGTAGGCCAGTGCTCAAGAACAGTACAGTCTCCCCAGGGGCCCAGAGGCCCTACCAGACATTCTCTGGAAATGCTAAATCCCCAGCTCCGTGCAGGCTGGCGTCACCCAGGAAGTATGTCACAGAGTCACCAGGCTTGGGGCAGGCCTGGCACTACCCACTGAGCCACTAGGTCCCAGGCCTACAAGGTGGGTCCAACGGGGCTGAAGTCAGCGGGAGACTGGGGGCCACCTTTCATTAAACTCTGCTTGTCAGTCACTACAGGCATCTACGAAGGTGGCCTCTCCCTTCCAGGGCTGCCCAGGAGGTGCTGAGACACAGCAGGCCAGGACTCCCTGGTCCCTATAGATCCGTGACCTTGTTTTCCACAGCAGCCGCGATCTGCTGGAGCCGGTAGCCCAGCTGCATCTTCTGGGCAGTGCCATCCTCCTCCAGGGCTGTGATGATCTGAAAGGCAGAAGCAACCATCAGGGGAGACATCGCTGGATCCCACGATCACCGCAAGTAGACTGCGGCAGGCCTAAAGGCTGTAGCATAGTCGGGGGTAAGCACAGAGAATTGCATCACTTACTGTCAGGGTGAAAACTGAACAAAGTCACCATGGGTTGCTTTTCTAGAGTTTGTTGTTTTTGAGACAGGGTCTCAGTACGGCCTTACATAAACTTCCTGCCTCTCCAGTGTTGAGAATACAGTCATGCACCACCACACAGAGATGGTAAAGAATAGGCAGCAGTTAGAGACGGACACACTTTACTCCTTAACAGTCTTTCCGTGCCCACTCATCTTGTGTAGAAGCCAGCCTTACACACACGCTGGCCTTCTCACAAGGTCTGCCATAGCCATCTCCACTGCTCTGCCTGCCAGCTAAGGGCATTTCATGATTCTGTGTGCCAAGACCAGGAGGTACGGTGTGAGACAGATAGGCAAAAGTACAACCAGAGAACCACAAATGAGGCTGCCTCCCTCCAATGGGCGAGACTGCATCACCTCTGCTGGGGCTCATGTCACACTGAAGGACACATGTATCATTTAGCTGTTACCAGACCACTAGGCTGTGGGCCATCATACAGGTTCCTGTAGTCTCAACTGTGACAGGCACATCACTGGTGCCACAGGAATGTGTTTCCAGTAAGCACTCCTAGAATGACTAACAGGTACTTAGAACAACAGGTCTGGTCAAGAGAGGGCCAGAAAAACCCCTCCCTGGCTGTGTTGTACCTCACCCATTCTCTTTTGGTTCCTGAAGCCCAGCCCAATCTGTACCCTGACAAGTGTTAATATCCAGGACAAATCCAACCCTGGAATCCTCATGGGATGGCAACTAGGTGGTTTTCCAGCACATCCCACATACCATCTCTAGACCCTGGCAGACTCTCTAGGTACCCCTAAACACTACTACCTACTGCAGAACCAGGATGGGGAATTGTGGGGACAGGGAGAGCAGAGGCAACATCACTGAATGAGCCTATGGAACCCCCACTCGGCTTCCCAAGAGGCACACTGAGAGCAAAGTCAGCCTTCAGTCAGGCCCAGGGTGTGCTCACCTGGTCGTAGTATTTGTTGATATACTTGTAGAGTTCATGCAGTGCCACTCGGGCCCCAAGGTCACCAGAGTAGTTCTAGGGAAGAAGGCAGGTACAACGTGAGAGAAATGAGAAGGAAGTGGGGGGAAGAGGCCCAGGACCCCAGAGAAGAGGACCTGAAAAAGAATGGGTCCTGTGTGGGTGGGAAGCAGAGCCTCTCTACAGGGCAGGGACCCAAGGCAAAGCATAACTACAGCTGAGGACAGGCTAAGGCCAGAGACCTCCATGGTAGGAAGAAAGTCCAGGACTAGTTTCAGCAGGGCTGAGTTTCCCCTGGAACCCTGCCTGCCTCTCCCAGGCAAGGCTACAGCTAGATATTCCTCCCATTCATTCTAAGCGACTACAGGGCCATGGACTGGCTGGGAACTCAGCGTAATTTTCCTCTGATCTTACTCAAATGTTTCCTGAGGCCAGTCCAAGGCCTTCCATGGGGTCATCAGACCTTCAGTCTCCTTTTCTGGACAGTAACGGTGATGCAGCTCAAGTAACCCATGGAGCTCTTAGGGTGACCAAAGGCAGAAGCACACCCCCATGAAGGGCTTGACACAGCTGTACCCCCAAAACATAGCTGCTGTTGGTAATGTGGGTGTCCTTGTAACCACTTAAGGAACACTGTCCATAGTTGCTAAAGTTCGCAGCAGAACAGTGGATAGTACAGGCAGGTATAGTGCAGGCAGGTAGACTCCAAAGGCCTAGCGCTGAATTCCACCCACTCTCCAGACCCTCACCGGGGCTGCAGCTACACAAGTACCTGGCTAGATCAGACAGGTGTCAGCTCTCACGACGAGACCCCTGCTTACTGAGATGCTAGAGGTCTGGCCTTTTGCAGTCACATTGGAACACCCTGTCCGTATGATGACAGGATGTGTGTCCTCTCCCAGCCAGCTCACAGAGGTACAGAGGTAACGAGTGGAAACATATGCAGGGGAAGACTTACCCGGGACAGCTCCGCGAGGACTGAGTTCATCTCTTGGTCACTGGCCGGGACGGTCTGTCTGATGTCTGTATAGTATCTGCCAGAAAGCCAGGGATAGCAGATGCTAAATAAGCAAAGCCCACGTCCTTGGTCCCACCAGGGCTTCCCTGGGGCCTCAGCTGCACACACACCCCAACGCCTCTCCAGACCCACGCCCTCCCCAGTACCTTTCTACCATCTGTTTGTAACGGGGAATATCCCGAGCATACAGAAGCTTGTTGATGGGAGAATCCTGGACACCCGGGGGAGGGCAGCAGAGAAGGAAGAAAGGGTCAAAGTTCAACAGGATGATCAGCATCATCACTGTTTTATAACTAAACAACCCACATCCCAGGACCCTTCCAACAAACCAGGACCATTGGTCACCCTAGACTACTCCTTG